AGCAGCAGCGGCAGCAGCTCCGAGGGTGGTGGACCGCTGGACCGCTACCGCCGGGCTGGACCCGCTAGTAGAGCGGCGGCGGCGTGCCGGAGGCGGCAGGGGAGGACCAAGCCGGGGCCGGGCCGGGCCGGGCGTATGCTCGGGCAGGAAGTCCGCCGGCTGCTGGCGGGGCCGCGCCGGGCAGGACGAGGCAGGACAGAGCCAAACTGACGTCGTGTCGGGTCGGATTCACACAGGACTAGGACTTGGAAGAAGAGAGGGGGAGGGGGGAGTGAGGGGCCCTGGTGCTGGCCGGCGGTGGCGTCAGCCGGCTGGAAAGATAACCCATGCAGACTGTACGCCCCCCCCCCCCCTACGGGATATAAAGTGGGATGCAAATTTAGATGCCGTCACAAGTTTGCGCGTTTTCCTTGCGCGCGGAGTCTGCGAACACCCCACCGCGCCTCCGCCGCCTAACCGCGCCCGCCTCCCCCCGCCGCGCACGTATAGTAGTGTGCTTCCCCCCGCCCCTCCGGCGCTGCGGTCGACGCTCCTTATGACGCTATAGCGACGCCATCCCGCGCCCCTGCTGCGGGCGGTGGCGTGGAGGGGCGGGCGGGGGTGCTCATAACGGCGCGAGGATCTGTCCCGGCTGACCGCTACACGGCGCGCGAGGGGGCGGCACCGGGGGGCGGCAAGGGGGCGGCGGGGGCCGTGAGTGACGGCGGACCTAACAGGCCGTGAGCGTGCGGCACCACACGGCCTCTCCCGGCCCCGCCGGGGCACAAGGACGCTCACACCAACACAACACACACACACACGCGCACGGAATTTAATAAGGACAATCCCGCTCCCTCGAAATCACGAGAGAATCAACTGGAACAAACAAACACTCGCACATAATTTTGAACTGCACTCGAATTATTGTGTGGTGAAAATTTCTGCTTTCGTTTCGACTTCAACTAATATGGCTGATTAGACAAGCTATAACTGAAGTTTCTTTCCATGTTTGTTAGATTTCCAGTGTAGGCAGGGCCTACTCGGTGGCCTTATTCGCACACGTGTGCCCCCGTTCCCCGCCGGCCCCTCCTCCCTCCGCCCCCTTCGGTCTTTTCCAGCTCGCAGTCCCACCTGTCCCGTCCTGGGCCGTGCTCCTCGCATGAGTACTGCAAGCCGGTCTGCAAACATCATAAGCCTACGGAGGGGAGCAGAGGGAGCGGGGCGGGGTAGGGATGTGTACTCCCGTCGACTCGGAACGGCCCCCACCACTCTCCAGCCGAAGCAAGTCTTGCTGGCCGCCCCGGCCCCGTCGTGTGCGGTGTGGTGGCGACGGTCTCCGCGCGCTCAGGCTCAGCCTCCGACGAACGTCAGGAATGCGAGCGCGCCGGATGATATCAGAGGTATGTGGCGACGAAGAAGCCGGGGAGGAACGAGAAGGAATAATAATAATGATACGATACTGTGTGTGTGCGTGTGTGGCAGGTACGCCCGTACGCACCCAGCAACGCACGCAGCGACGACGCCGCATCCGCAGCTTGCTCTGCTGTCACTCTGTCCCCGGCAGCGCAGCTCTCGCGGGACCTTCCATGGCAAACCCACAGGCAGAGAGCACAGCAGCCGCGACGTTTCCACTAGGCAGGGCGTGGCGTGGCGGGGGCGCACCCCCGCTGCAGTCAGTCGGGCAGCGACCACAGCATGATGCCCCTGCCGCTCGTTGTGTCCCCCCCCCCCCGCCCTCTTATACTCCCGACTACAGTGCCGCCCCCACAGCCTCTGTCACAAATCATATAACAACCAGTTCTCGGGAATTCTCGGTGTAAAAGTCCCGCCCCTTTCTCCCCCCGCCGACAGCAAAGTGCTTATTTGGCCTGCCGCCCTCCCCTTTCAGAGGCTCGCGGGGTCGGGCCGGGTCGGTCGGGTAGTTCAGCGATGACGCGGTTAATTCCCTCCCCCTTCTCCCTTTTCCTCCCCCTATCCTCGGTGCGGCGCTGTGTGGACTCCAGTCGTACGCGCAGCGGCGGCGGCGGCAGC